ACACTATTCCCTGATGCATTCCCCATGGCATGTATCAACTAGTCAGAGTTGATTTCCTTTTTTGAATTTAAATAACTGCTTTGGCATGTTCTCTGGTGCATTCACCATGCCAATGCCGTGACCAATCAGAATTCCTTTGACAACCAATCAGCACCCTGTTTTTCATGCACTACAAGCTTTCATTCCCTTTGAAATTTTTAATTTTTGTGTTTTTTGATGAATGAAAGATGAATAGCTTCAACAACATGTCTCCTTTTACAAAACTGCATAAGTAGAATACCCAACCAATTATAGGCATCTACTATACTTTGAAATCCAGAAGCGCACATTTCAGGTTTTCAGTGCACGATTCTGTTCAGTATTTCATGCTCCCATATTCTGGTCACGTATCTCCTGTAAGATGCATCAATTCTCCGCTATTGCATAAACATACATGAAGTGAGAATGTATGAAGTAAAGAAACGGTTATAATTTCTGGCTATTTTGACCTAGGTTACAATTGCTTTTTCATAATCAAACAACCCCACCAACCTCCGGATCCAACGCATCATTCTCCGACACTTCCGCCATCTGCAATCCGACCCCACCAACAAAGACATCTTTCCCTCCCCACCCTTATCTGCTTTCCAGAGGGACAACTCTCTCCGTGACTCCCTTGTCCGCTCCACACTCCCCTCCAGCTCCACCACACCCGGCACTTTTCCCTGCAACCGCAGGAAGTGCTACACCTGCCCCCATACCTCCTCCCTCACCCCCATCCCAGGCCCCAAGAAGACTTTCCACATCAAGCAGATGTTCACCTGCACATCTGCCAATGTGGTATACTGCATCCGCTGTACCCGGTGTGGCTTCCTCTACATCGGGGAAACCAAGCGGAGGCTCGGGGACCGCTTTGCAGAACACCTACGCTCGGTTCGCAATAAACAACTGCACCTCCCAGTCGCGAACCATTTCAACTCCCCCTCCCATTCCTCAGACGACAAGTCCATCCTGGGCCTCCTGCAGTGCCACAACGATGCCACCCAAAGGTTGCAGGAACAGCAACTCATATTCCGCTTGGGAACCCTGCAGCCCAATGGTATCAATGTGGATTTCACAAGTTTCAAAATCTCCCCTCCCCCTACCACATCCCAAAACCAGTCCAGCTCGTCCCTGCCTCCCTAACCTGTTCTTCCTCCCACCTATCCCCTCCTCCCACCTCAAGCCGCACCTCCATCTCCTACCAACCAACCTCATCCCGCCCCCTTGACCTGTCCGTCCTCCCTGGACTGATCTATCCCCTTCCTAACTCCCTACCTACACTCATCTTTACTGGCTCCATCCCCGCCTCTTTGACCTGTTTGTTTCCTCTCCACCTATCCTCTCCTCTATCCCTCTTCTATCCGCCTCCCACTCTCTCCCTATTTATTTCAAAACCCCCTTCCCCTCCCCCTTTTCTGATGAAGGGTCTAGGCCCGAAACGTCAGCCTCTCTGCTCCTATGATGCTGCTTGGCCTGCTGTGTTCATCCAGCCCTGCACCTTGTTGTCTCGGATTCTCCAGCATCTGCAGTTCCTACTATCTCTGAACAACTTACACTTACTGCTTTATGCTGTTTCTCTTACTCGTTTATTCTTGGTGTTATCTCTCTCTCCCAAACAAATGCCACACACACTTCTAGTTATAGCTCTTAGCCAAGCTTCTCATGAGTCAAGTTAATTAGAATTTTTTGTATGGGCTTTTTAAATGATCTAGTGATTTTGAAAGTGCTATAAAAGTGCAAGCTTAAGAAATGGGAGCAGGATGAGACCATTGAGCCCCACAATCTTGATCAATAATTTAATAAAATCATCTTGGATCTTTGACCTCAATTCTACTTTCCCTCCAGATCCCTGTATTCCTTACAGTTCAAGAGTCCACCAATCACAGCCTTGAAATCTGCCAATGACTAAGTGTCCACAGCTGTCTGGGAATAGATTTCCAAAGATTTACAATATCCTGAGTAAAGGAACATCTTCTCATTTCAGCCCTAAATGACCCACACCTTATCCTGGGACTGCCCTCCTGGTCCCAAACTCTCCAGCTAGGCAAAACAACCTCTCAGCATCCACCCTTTTAAATCTTTTCAGAATCTTACATTTCAAGGAGATCAACATTCATTCTTCTAAAGAAGATGTACCCATATAAACCCATTTGACTGATTCTTTCCCCATAAGACAATCCCTTTATCCCAGGTACCATAAGCATGATGGGTGTATGGGATTTGATGTAAGATAGAATACTGACAACAGAGTTTTGAAATTGGAGGCTACCAAGGAAAATGTTGGAATAGACAATTCTAAAGCTTATAATGCCATGGATGTGGAGTTTGGCAGTGGATGAGTTGAGGTAAGTGGACAATGTTATGTAGCTGGAAGTAGACAATCTTTATAATGTAGTAGATATGTGACTGGAATTTCAACTCAGAGTCACATACAATACTAAGGTTGCCTGATTCAACCTCAGACAGTTGCCAGGAAAAGGGATGAAGTCAATGGCTTAAGAATGGAGTTGGTGACAGGAACCGCTTCAGTGGTTCAGGCTGAATTAATTTTTAATATTTTAAGGCATGCCTCTTGTACTAACACTTGTGACACCCACTTATTCATCAGTGTGACTGCACATTGTCTAATGCAGGCGCCTTGAGATGTCAAGATACCCTTTCTTTGAGTGATGGGGTGTGTGTCATTATTCAAAACTGATACTATGGCCAGTCTGGGAATATATTTATAATCTCTGATAAACTAAAATGTCTAGAACAACAAGATTAATGGATGAAGTTGGGTTTTCAATTATTTATTTTCAGAAACAAATGTCACAAAAAATTTTCAACAGTAATTTGTCCAAAAATTCTGTTTCAGTGTGCAAAGGCTAATTGAGTCTAACAAAAAGGATACCCCAGTTGAAGCAGCATTTCCATGGAATTGTCTATTAATTTATTGCAATCTGTCTCAAACAATTGTGCTTTTCTCTGGCAATTTGTTAAATACAGTCACGTTCTTAAAGACATCCTAAATCTTTTCCAACATAAAGCAACTTGCTCCAGCCTTGAGCGACTACAACATTGAAAAAGTTTAGAAGTAATGAATATAGATGTTTTTTTCTGATTCTAATTTTTTGCTAGTTTTGAGGCTGTAATTGGAGTAAAATAGCTTCTTAAAGGTTATTATGCCATTTACAATTTATATAATGTAAAATACAGTGAAAAGTCACTAAAAGGAGTACTTGCGTTATCCTGTAATTTAAGTCTATTGTTGAGGCAATATAATGTGAATTGTATTTTATATGTGGCTCTTACAGTGTGTGAATTTGCAAATTTGATAAATGAATAAAATAACTTTAAAGAATGTTTACTTGAACACGTGCGGAGAAAACATTAAAATACATTTTCTTGTTTCTAAAATCTCTGTGCCCACAAGTTCTAATTGAAAGCAATTATGTTTCTGAACTTTCATTTCAGGATTTTGTGTCCATTTGTACTGCAAAAATAAAAATATCTAAAGTTGTCAAATCACTTTTCACTGAATTTTACTTTATATGATTGTAAAGGGCACAATATTGTGGTCGGCGGTAAAGCAATGACACCACTGACGTGAATTAAAAAGCTGCCTACAAAGGTTTAGCTATGCGAGGTGACCTCTATACGTCGACTGTCATAAAACCCAGTTGGTTTGCTGATGGTCTTTTGGGAAGAAAATCTGCCATCTTTACCTGATGGTTGCATGTGACTCCAGACCCACCGCGATATGGCTGAATCTTTGTAGCCACTCCGTTTCAGGGTAATTGGGGCTGGGCAACAAATACTGATCTCGCCAGCGCCGCATATCTACAGTTATCGAACGAAGCAATTTAAACTATGTGCTGCAAGCGAGACTTAAAGATCGAACAAGTATGAAATAAACACTGTCCGTGCGGATTAAATGTTGTTCACACAGAGTGTGCAATATAGATTAATGAGAGCCTGCAGCCTCAGCATTTCTCTTGTGTGTATATCAGTTCATGCGCTGACAGCCTGACCAAGCTGGGAAATTGGTATGCCAGTAACTGGCTCCCTGTGATTAGACCGGAATAAACACCCCGATGTTACTTGGAAACTGTTGACTTGTTCTATTTTGCAATCCACGAGGACTGGACACCAGTTGCTTCCCGATGACTTTCTGAGTGGAATTTTCCAGCCGTGGGGGCTGCGAAGTGAAGTTGTCAGCGAGTGATGGTGCCGTGAGCGTATCCCTCACACTTTCTGCCCAGCACAAGCGCCCTGATTGTTCCAACCATTTGAATGTATTACTCCTCCTCGACGACGTTAATTTCTGAGCCGGTGGTAGGAACGTGACAAAGCCCGGACAGAGAGAAACCAACAACATCACCTTGCAAACTCCACAGCCTCCACTGTGTCATCTCCCCGGAGAGGCAAGGAAGAAATGACTTGGAGGTCAGTTTTATCAGGTTTGATTAAGTCAAATCAGAACCAAGGGACTAGGGGACGCTACAAGTTACAGCTGCTATGCACTTTATTTTAACGTTATTTTCTCGAATTAAGCTATTTTTTTCTTCTGATGTTTATGTTTACAGATACCCCGGACAGCAACAGTGTAAAACTGGTTTCTAAACAACACAAAGTGAAATTATTTGACAGTTGTGACCAGAAATGTAAACAATAATCGAGTGAAAAACGGAAAAGGACTTCAGGGATGTTTGAAAGGAGCCAAATGGAACCCCAGAAATAATTGATTGACTGGGATGGTGCCCAGACTGAGTTGATGGTCATTTCCTCGCCACCGACATCTACACACGACTCAACAGAGGCTCCGGTCTCAGCCAAAGACTCTCACTCGCTCTCTGTTGGGTGCAGCCGGCAGATTTCCTCCGGGGATCGGACGGGGTGGGGGGAGGGGGTGGTGCGGGGTGAGTTGCCCCAGCTCTGTGCACTAGCCGCTGGCTGGTCGGTTGCTACATTGCCCGGAACCTAAGCGGTAACACGGCGGCTGATCGGCTCAGGGAGGCAGCACTGGGATGGGACTGACCTGGGTGCTGGGAGCTGACTCTCTCCCAGCTTCTGGTTGCTGAGAAACCAGCTGCTGCTTTCCAGAAGCCAGTGAGGGAAACTAATCAAGAGGGTGAGCTCCACACATTTCTACCCTGACCCTAACTGACCTCGGTGGCACCATGAATGTGACTCCGTTCAGTTTAGAATTACTTGCAGGATTTCCCAGGAACGTTTCCCTATTCCCTCCCAACAGCAACCTGAGCTTTTGGGAGACTATTCACTTAAACATCAACCTGCTGTTCTCGGGGTATGAACCCACGACCATTGTCTTGGGGGTGATCTACACTCTGTCCTTCATCATTGGGTTAGTGGGCAATATCATGGCTTTGAGGGCCCTCACCAGGAAGAGGAGGAACCGACTGGAGGGGGCCACAACCACCAGGAGTCTGTTGGTGAACCTGGCGACCTGTGATATGATGGTAGTATGTATCTGCATGCCCGTTACTCTGGGCCACCAGGTCTACAACGCTTGGGTGTTTGGAGACTTCATGTGCAGGGCCGTCCCGTTTGTGCAAGCAGTTGCTGTCTCTGCCAGCGTCTTAAGCCTGGCAGTGATCAGCCTGAACCGTTACTACAGTGTGCACAACCCCCTGCACGCCAGGTCATTCTTCACCTGGAGAAGAATCTGCTGCATGATCGCCGGGGTCTGGCTTCTGTCGTCCGGCCTCTGTATGCCTTTAATCTTCATGAATCAGACGGAAGAGCTGGTGCTTCTGGACGGGAAGCTGACCATCCCGGTGTGCACAGAAAGCTGGTCCTCCGTGAGGCTGAGACAGGGCTATAACTTCCTTCTGTTCTGCGCTCTGTACGGCTTCCCAGTGCTCTTCAACCTCCTCATCTGCTTCCTGACTGCCCGCCGCCTCTGGAGTAACCAGGACCGCTTCCAGGAGGGTAACAAGAGGCACTTGGTGGGGAACAGCTCCCGGCTGAAGACCCGCAAGAAGATTGTCAAGATGGTGGTGGCTCTAGTTCTCCTCTTCACCTTGTCCTGGCTGCCCTTCTATGTGATTGACATCTGGATTGACTTCAGTGTTCCCAATGCCCAGCCGGACGGTGCCCACCAGGACTGGATCCTTCATGTTCGATCCTTTGCCCAGTGGTTGGGTCTCACCAATTCCAGCCTCAACCCTCTCTGCTACTGTTTCATGGGCAACCTGTACAGGTCTGTGAAGAGGATCAAGAAAAGCTACAGGGAGCGAATCTCTTCTGCCCTCAACCTGAACATGTCTCAGACTCCATTCAACTCCTCGATCCTGCTGTCTTACCGAGCTGCCAATGACATCCCCAAAACTGACTTCAACAACTGGGCAGGCGGCCAGGCGCTCACTAAAGGCGAATGTGGATCTTCTGGAACTATTTGCGAAACAACCTTCGAATAAACACTGTTAACCTTAATTGTAGTAAACTTGTTCAGACATGAGTTACCTCAGTGTCCTTTACCAGATCCTCTTTATGCCGAGTTTACACTCCGTAGGTAATCAGGAGTATGATTTGTCAATTGTTTCGGTTCCTGTGTGTTTTGCTCCTACAGTAAAAAAAAACTTGCTTCTTCCTGCAATTTTCCTTTGAAACGGGCGGGAGCGCTATTAATGGGTCAATATTCTGTCCCAGGGTTATCCCTGCCTCGTTCAGGAGTCGGCAAGCAACAAGTTATCAAGCCCTGAGATCAAAAGAGAAGCGAGATCTAAGGACAAATGCGACTCCCTGCGATGCGAAGGGTCTGAGCTGTATGATTCTATGACTTTATGACTATGACTGAACCAGTTGCCAGTTCAAGGAAAATCGCCATCTGTCAAATATAAACAGACCATAAAATGAAATTATGGCATTGTAGTGAAAGGTGAAAATATGGCACGTAGATAATAATCATTGAAAATAAAAGTAATGGCATTCTGATTAAATCACTCTCAAGCATAGTCCTAAGATGTTGCTTTCTGACTTTGCGTGTTACAATAGTCTTCCAGGTTTACTATTCAGAGCTTCTGATTTTGGATATATGGTCTGTTGAGCAGTTAAGAAGGAGTGAGATAATCATATTGAGGCTCTGGAGAAAGGCTCTCTGTCGTTAAATAGAACACAAATAGACTTAACATTGAAATAGGTCTGGGTCCTCACACAAATACAGACTTGTAAGGGACAGAAATCTGATGTCCGATTTCATTCCACTTGTGCTAGCTCCTCTGCACTAGGGCTGCTGAATAAAATGAAAATGAACTGAGATTCATCACAAGGCAACTTGAAAGCATTGCTAAAGGCCATTGCTAAAGACTGGGACATGGGGATGAAATATATTTAACTCATTATGCCGAATAAATCAGTGTAAAGTTTTCTTTTTGTGAAAATGTTTTGTTCACATTCCTTTATTTGATAATTGTAAAATGTCCATATTTTGTAATTATGTACGGTCGCTGAATTAAACATTACCTGAGTTGATATTAATTGCCAGCCATTTTGTTCCTATTTTTAATTTGTCTCAAAAACATTTCAACATTTTTCAGAGTTCATCTGACCTAACGTTGTCACTGCCCCAGTAGAGCACACCTGGATCATCATATTTTAAAATTCACATCATAATCCTGGATTGATTTTCATTTTAATGTAATCCCCCAGCTGTAAGTTATTTTATTGATCTTCTTCGGTCCTTTTTCCCTACCAGGCACAGCCCCTTAACTGAAGGGATTCATTGGTTATATTGGCACAGACTAACTCAGCAACTGGTTTCTCCAGTGACTCCCTGTGACACTTCATAGAAAGATCCATTTCTGATCATTCTATTGCACAATGATTTAGTACAGTATTGTATTCTTTCCTTATGTCCTTTAAAAAAAAGTTCCTAGCTCTTCAAATCAGCATGTAACTTATTTCCATAGACCATTATTTTCCATTCATGGTTTATGCATTTTTCTTTGAGTCTTTTGTTATTTTTTTCTGTCAATTTTCTCTTTTCTTCTCCTCTCCCTGGGGTATTGATGTCCAGCTGACACCATTGCCTTTCCAAGATGCTATTGTTAATATGTGATTCTGGTCATGAAGCAGTTTGACCAACTGGGAGGAATAATAGCTGGTCCAAAACTGAAGTCGTATCCCTAACTGAAATTTTATTTCCCAACCCAATAAGCCAGCTATAGGATTCTTAACACTGTCACTGCTGAGATCAACAAATGGCACTGACAGAGCATCAAACCTAAGATCTTTCTAGTCATTACTTGTAACATTAGTATAAAACATATGGTTCTAAATAAGAAATACATGATTTTTGTCTTAACAACTGTTTACATTTTTTTCACTATTTTTCTTCTGAAGTGGCTATTCCATCAAACTAATCTTCTAAGGTAATATTGGCCTGCTATTACCACATCACTCCTCATGCATCACTAACTATCTGTAGCTCTTGGTTGTGCAGAATACCAAACATTCTTCATTTTGGCTTTAAAATCCCACTTCTTTTAGTTACACTTAAAAAAGTCATATGTCAATATAGTCACAATTTCATTTACTCTTTCGATTATAAATTTCACTTGTAACAATCCTACAATGTTAATAATCACAGCTAAGAAAAAGTTTATCAGAAAGAATAGTACTTGGTATTGTGTTCATATATACCAGTGTATATGGAGTATATTGAGCTACATTACTAGGAAGAAGCTATGTAACTAAAAATTAAGGCTTGCATTTTTCTGTACAAATGAAGGTGACAACAGCATCTAGCATCCACTGTGAAAATTTGAATGTTGTTGTCAGTAATATTCCGCTACACCACAGCAAGTACAAGCATAGTCTTTGTGAATAGACTTGATACAGAGATTGCTGCAGTGTATTGACTTTGGCTAATTATGCACTATTATTAGTCAAAAGACAGTTAGAAAAGTTAGGCATGGAAAGTCAGAAGCCTAGTTTCAATTGTGCATTATGAGCTACTAATAAAAAGAAATGTCTCTGGCTCTGGAGAATAAGAGTAACTTTACAAATCTCACTCCGTCAGAAGAAAGTAAATGCTACAGACTTTTTAAAATTAAAATAATTTGAATAGTGTTCTGTTATTCTCTTTTATGTTCCTTCAATATCATTGTGTGTATGTTCTATTTATTATTTTTTCTG